GGGGCGGAGGGATTTGACACAGCTATTCAAGCCCACGGTTGCCATGGTATCTCCTGCCTTATATGGGCAAAGAAGTCAAAGAGCTGCTCTGCTGGGCACACAAAAAAAGAATGTGGTGTTTTGCTCCTGAGAGATCAGTGACCTCAGGCGTGCTTCAAAGGACTGCAAATATGCCTACAGGACGCCAAACCAGTAAATAGCATAGGAGAACATTCAGTCCGGAGCCATGCACAGGCTAGGTATATAATGCTCTATAATATTATTAATCATTTTAAATCAGGCAAAACATTTATGAAGGAAGTATTTAAACTAGCTTGTATCATTTTAATGTTACTAGTAGGCTATTTTTAACTACTAGTCAGTCATACCAGCAGTGACTAGTATCTTTTAAATTTTCACAAGTATGATTTATTAAATACTAGCATAATACTTATTACAGTATTTATTTTCTACTCCAACTTTACCAGTGCTTATTTAGTGTCTATTTATAAGAGGCTATATAATATCTTTCCCAGTAGTTAAGAGTAACATTTCTCATCTCATTAGTTACAGTTGTCTTTTTACTAATGACTCAGAATGGTTGCTTTATACTTCAATTAAAAGTTTTACTAGTGATACTGAAAATGCCACAGTAGTGTCTAATAAAGTGTAATTACTTACAAATTAGTGTGTGTTACTGATTCCAAATTACATGACAAAAATTGTAGTAAGTAACAGAATCCATTACGTTACGCATTTTAGGTAATATAATCAGACTACTTTTAGATTACTTTCGACCTAACTCATTTATCACATTGATCTGAATAAGATAATCTTGTACCAAATTGATATAAAATACAGAGAAAGAAAATATATTCCATTCTTTTGTTATGAACAACATGAAGTTAAACATTACGTCAAGGTTTCCCAAACTGGGGTTCGTAAAGGAACTGCAGGGGGTTCGTGAGTTTAATGAAAAGCTAATAATTAATTAAATCATAAAAATGTAAAATTAAAATAATAATTTTAATAGATTTCAAATAATTCATAAATTATTTTAAAATAACAACAAACATAATAAAATGCTTACTAAAAATGAAATATGTTTTGTTTACCTGCATGTCATGTGACCATTCACCAACACCAGAGAACCGTGAAGATGTAAATGTGATACTTATTTATTAAAATATTTAATTTAAAATCTTAGGGGTACTTCAAGTATTTATAAGAGGTTCGGCTGACAAAAAAGTTTTACATGTAAATAAGAAATAGTGTGGAATTGTGCATTTAATGTGTTTGAAAGACAAAAGCCTTCCAAAGCGGTTAACCTCTTGAGTGATAATGCAAATAAAAATGTATGTTCACTAGTAGCTGATGCAAAGTTGAAACACTTCTTAAACCTGAAC